GGGTTACATAAAGAAAAATATATTTTCAAGAATTTTTTCGAAAGGACATTTTCAAAGGAAAAAATTGTGGATTTAAAGGACCTGTTAATAAAGTGGGAATTTTCAAAATTTTAATTTTATTTAAAGGATATTTTCGAGGACTATATTGGCTAAACATGGTCAATTCTTTAAAAGTATGTTTTCAAATCCTTTTTTTCTAAGAAAAATATTTTTCAAGAATTTTTCGAAATTTTTTGACGCAAAAATTTTGAATTTATCAAAATATTTTTTGACTTTTTTACCAAAGATATATTTTTAAGAATTCTAGATTTTTTCGAAGGAGGGACAAACATGGTTAATTTTTTAATTTTAAATTATTTTTAAGAATTTTTTCGAAAGGACATTTTCAAGGACAAAAATTGTGGACTTTAAAAAAAAACATTTTTTAAGGGACTTTTTTAAGAAAAATTTATTTTCAAGAATTCTAGATTTTTTCAAAGGACATTTTTTAGGACTATAGTCTTGGATTTTCAAAATTATTTTTCAATGGTCTTATTTCTTCTACAAGAGCTTTTTAGAAATATTTTTTTTCAGTGACTAATGATTTTTTTCTATGAACGAAAAATGTTTTAAGTTTTTCCGTTCAAAAAATAATTCTGGATTTTTAAATTTTTTTTTTTCAAAAAAGGATATTTTTTATGAACAAAAGGAGTTTTAACAAATATTTTTCATGGAACAATAAATCAATCATGGATTTTTCAGTTTTTGTTTCAAGGACCAACAGAGGACCACTCGTGGATTTTTTTTTTATAATTTTTTCAAGGTCCAAGGGTTCAATGATTTATCTATAAAAAAGAAATATAATTGGTCGTGGATTATTAAGAAATTTTTAAGGATAATGAGACCTAGGATCATCAAGAACATTATCAAGGCCCAATAGTTGGTATTTTTTCCTAACGTCAACAGGCCGAAAATTGTGATTTTTTACAGATTCTGTTCAAGGACCAAGCAACGAGATACTTTATCGTAAATATTTTAAAAATAGACTTTTTCGAGGATTTACTGAATAAATATCGTCGATCTTTAAAGATATTTTTTTAAGGACTAACATTTTTTTTTATTATTTTTGAAGTTTTAATGAACTGATAAAAAATTTAATATATTTTTAAGGACCTACATACTAAATATTTTTTCCGGACGACAAGGCTAAGGTCCAACGGACAAATAATCATGAAATTTTTTGAAAGAATTTTTTGAAGACGAATGTAAGTTTTTTTTCTAAATATTTTTAAGATTCAACAAACTTATAAACGAACATTTTGTAAATATTTTCTTTTTTCAAGAAAACAATAATTATATATTTTATAGGAATAACAGATTTTTAAAGACTGTGGTTTTTTATCTTGAATTTTCAGTCCCTCTTAGATCAACAATTTCAGTTTTGAACTGGTGGCATTGGTGGGGATTTTTGAAGAAGGTTTCTTCACGGATCATACGTACAATATTAGCAGATTTTTAAGACCATTTTCCTAGGAATGTGAAACCAATAATAGTGGCTTCTGTCCTGGATCAAACGATACTGGCAGATTTTAAATTATAGCAGGTGTTTCTTTTTTGAAAATTCTACGGGTATGAGGTTTTTTGCTGGGCCACTTTTTTATAACGACATAATTGAAAATGAAATTCTAATTTGCACATGGATATCCCTGCAACAATGGATTCTGAGCTAAATTTGGTTACTATATTAGGAGGTAGATCATCAATATATAATATTATACTATATTGCGAATTTAACTTTACGTTATGAAAAAATCACTAGAACTTGTGTATCACCTGACGGGAATGGTTTTTTATTTTTATTCGAATTTTTTTCCACCTTTATCGTTTCCTGCCTGAATAAATTTACACCTCCATCTCACTCATTTCGCATTTCCTCCTACAAATGATTAGAGAACAGTTTACTAAAATTCGTATACGAGAAAGCTAGAGTCATTATTTGGTATATCCTTTTTTTAAGGATTATTTTCAGCTATTTTTAATTACTTCTATTAGCTATTTTTCAATAGAAATTCAACAAATTACATCTAAACGTCTAATTTCTAGTATCAGTAGAAGTTTTAATTTAAATGAATAAATAAAAATTGTATTCAAGTAGAGTTACATAAAAACATGCTATTTTAAATTAGTAGCAATTATTAGCTGATAAATGTAGAGAAACAAATTAAGATGAAAGAAAGAATTTACTTAGAATATCAACTCAATGATAGTCGAAATTGGTAGCTGCTAAGGCACTAGGACGTCACACAATGGTTGTTGAATATTAAAAATGGAACAATACTGAAGTTGTTATGAAATTAAATAAATACGTATTATTATGAATCAGAGAAACATATATATATTTGGGGCAATCGAACTGATTTGTTATGGTGTCAAGAAACTAAGGAGAAATATTTTAAATACTAAAATCCATTAGCCCCTTATAGTCTATATTTTTGCGAGAATGTTATAGGGAATTTACCACTGAGCTATAATTTGAGACATTGCTCTACGTACCATAAGGAACGCCATCTATGCCTCAATTTTCGTTAATGTTCTCATTAAAGAAGTTTGTGCATAGTGCAGATTTTTTGGCGTTAAAATATTTAATTGCTCAAATTTTGTCAAGATCGTTCCAGATTTTGATATAGTTCCCACATATTTATATATCTTTATCCGATTTAGGGTTTTTTGTGAACCAAATGGCTAATATCAGCCCATATGGACAGAATCTTGGTAATTCAGACTGAATTCAAGTACTTCAAATTTAGTGAAAGTCGGTTCGGATATAGCCATAGCTCCCTTTGGGGTTTTAAGTTCCTCACCTGCGTAATGTGCACTCCATAACAATAATCTTTGGTACCAGATAACTCATGAAGCTCAAAACTAATTCTATCAAATTTCATCGATATCGGATAAGATCAGGATATAGCTCCCATATCTATATTTTTATCCATTATCAGATTTACTGGGCACCAAATGGTCAGTATCAGCCCAAATGGACTGCATTTTGGCACATCCTACAGATGTCAGTCTAGAAGCACGTACATCAAAGTCGGTTCAGATATAGCCATAGCTCCCATTTATAAGTTTCATCCGATTTGGGGTTTTAAGACCCTCACATGCGTAATATTCATTCCACAACTATAATATTTTATACCGGACATCAGATACTGCTCGAATATACTTCTGCCAAATTTTATCGATATCGATTCAGATTTTTCTATAGTTTCTTTATCCGATCTTCATCCGATTTTACGGTTATTGTTGATTATATATAAAGAATTCGCCAAAAATTAAATAATTTGTATACCCCCTACCTTGAAAAGGATTCTATATAAACTTTGTCATTCCGTTTGTTTCAAATTTGGTATTTGAGAAGTTTTGGTAGACGACAATCCTTGAAGTATACAATTTTCTCTATAGGTTTCCGTTTATATTTTCATATAAAATTTTTTTATTTACCCAAAGGTGTAGGGTATTAAAAGTGCGGCCCTGCCGAACTAGAAACTAGGCTAGGAAAAAATACAATGCTTGGGATTGTACTTTATATTATACTGAGCGCCATCTATACAGCGGTATCAATATTACTCTTCTTTTCCAAAATTTTCGAATACATTTGGGCACAAAACTGTTCAAAAATCTTTTTAAATGATTCATAGCGTGCTTAAAATTATGCGTAAGTAGGATGATTTTGTAAGTAGTTATTGTTACGTAAGGAGAATATATGAACTCATTACTAGGTAAAGACATTTTACGGCGCTGTTCAATTAATGGGTAAGTAGATTGGTATAAAAATAGTTATGGCCACGAAAAGTAAACCGGTAATTTGGTTTTTTGCTCGGGAATATACCTAACCTGAACGCCATCTATACCTTAGTATTAAATATATTTTTAATTGGCAAAATATTTGTACATATTCTTCAGCAGGAGAATTTTTATAAAATTTACATTAAAGGGTAAGCATGTAAGGTAAGTAGTTATGACTACGAAAAAGTAATGTGTAAAGCCATTATTTGAAAATGACATTTTTGAGTAGAATTTTATTTAACGCCATCTATATCTTAGGATTAATACTTCGAATACTATTACTTGGTAATGAAATTTTATGGTGTTGTTTAAAAAATTGCAATGTAGATTGGTATAAAAACGAGTTATGGCCTCGAAAATAACCGTATAAACCGGTAATTTGTTTTTATGCTCAGGAATATACCCGACCTGAACGCCATCTATACCTTAGTATTAAAGATATTTTTAATTTGTAATATTTGTACATATACTTCAGCAGGAGAATTTTTATTAAATTTACATTAAAGGTAAGCATAATTGTAAGTAGTTATGACTACGAAAAAGTAAAACCATTATTTGGTTATGACATTCATGCCTGGAATTTTATTTAACGCCATCTATACCTTAGGATTAATATTATCATTATTTCTTTCAAATATTTTGTGCATACTTTTAGGCGCGAAAAAATATTTAACAGTATTTTTGTCCTATAAAAACAAAAATTGACAACAAATTGACATTTTAAAGAGGTTGCATGATTTTTCGTCTTTTTCCTAATTTTTTGTCCTAGCCTTGCCTTAATACCAAAACAATAACTAAGCCATTGAGTTAATAAAGCATACTTTTCAGCATTTTCTTTGAATGTTTTTTTTGTTTTAAATATTTAAAAATGATTTTTAGCTTTCTCAATAACATTTAAATTTCAAATGCTCTAAATCGGATAGCATAGATAAAGGCCAAATTTTTAAATAGAAATAAATCGTAAAAAAGTAAGTTTTATTCATAAAAAGGGGGAAGTAAGAAAATGAAAGTAGAACCATAACAGAATAAGTAAATAAAAGTAATAAATATAAGTAGGAGGATATTTTTTTAATATAAAATTGAATAATTAATTAATAATATATAAAGATTATAAGATATATATATTTTTGATTTTTGGATAATATAAAAAGAAATCGGTAACCGTCTACAGGTACCTGTGGTAAGACTGATTTCCATAGCTCTCTGACGATGACCCAAGACCTTAAATTGCGGTAGCGAGACCTCACTCGAGACACCAACCGAGTTCGGTCCTTCATTCCACTTATAGCGAATGTCACGCATGGTATAGCCGACTTTTGTAAGTCGTGGTGGTTTGATTCGGTAAGTTCGGGTGGGTATTGTTTGGTTTGATTGTTTGGTTTGATTTGATTGATTTTTTTCAAATTGGTTGATACGCATTCAATGTGATATGTTTTGAGATATTTTATAATTTTTTTGAGTTGAGGTTCGTTCGTTCGGTCCGGATGGATGGTCGTGGTTGTGGTGGTAATTTGTGGATGGTAATAATATTTGATTTTTTTGGTTAGAGTTTGATATTTACAGGAAATTTTTGGTTTTTGGTGGATAGATAGTTGAATGGGTTAGGGCATGAAGTAGAGATTTCAAATGGTATCGTATTTTTTTCGATTATTTAATTGGCGTTCGTTCATTTGTTTTTTCATATCATATATGGATATGGATTCAATTTTGTTTTCATTATTTGAGTAGTTATCGTTGAAAATTGTTTTAAAATAGAGGCATGGCCGTAAACAAAAGAAAAAGAAATAATTCATTGGATTGGTTTGAATGGTTTAAGTTGTTAGTTTTTTTGTTTTTTTTTTTTTGGTTTTTCATTAGCATAACCTTAAAACAAATTACAAATGAGACTATTAACTAATATTAAGAGAATGATTGTTTTTTCTTAGTTTTCCTGATGAATGAATGTATTATTTGTAAAAAAAATATTGGATGTTGGAAAAATAGTGATTTTAGAGTAGATATATATTTAATAGTCTCATTCAGAATTTTTTGTATATTTTTTATTTTTATTTTTTTTTTAATTTTTTATCATCTTATCTTTCGTTGTGGAAATCTTTCCTAACCCCTTTATTAAATATCTACCTACAGTTATATTACCTACTTAAATATTACAAGCTACTGTTTGTTCATATTGGCAGTAGTTAGAAAATTATCTTTTTTAAGCTCTGGCAAAGGCTGCTGTTAAGCATTTATGTGTTTTTGTTTTTTTTTGCCAGCAGCTGGGGGTGGCACACGTTTTGGTTTTTATAGTTTAAAAATAGCTTATATTAATAAAAACTAATTAAAAATTATTTGAAGAAAATATGGAAAATAATACAAAAATTTTAAAAATCGTATTTTCCAATATAAAAATTATTGAAAATAATTATAATGATATTTAAAAATTATTAAAATAATATTTTTTAATATTAAAAATAATATTATTTATACACGGAGTGTTAAGCATGTTTTGAACATAAAACCTATCTGAAATGGAAATATTTTGAAATTGTTTTTTATTTCAAAAAATTTCAAGAATTCTGAATTTTTTGTAATATAAATAATAATAAAATAATTATAATAATATTTAAAAATAATTATAATAATATGTTTAATATTTAATATAAAAACATTTATACACGGAGTTTTAAATATGCGTTGGACATAGGGTTTGTCTGAAATGGAAATATTTTTCATTTTTGTTTTATTTTTTTATTTAAAGAATTCAGAATTTTTGGCAATTATTTGATTATCTTGGGAAAATATGTCAATATTTTGAATATATTCTTGACAAAAATAATGGAAAACTGCCTCAATATTTTGGATATTATTTTTTTTAAAGGAAAAGCCCCTCTGTAAGAAGATAGAAATCCTTTGAGTTCCAAAAATTTGAATATTTTAAACTTCTTATAAAAAATACAATTTGAGATTTTTTTCTAAAAACTGTAATTTTTGACTCAGTGAAATATCGATTTGGATTTTAAGAGAGGGTCTTAAAAATGTAATTTTTTGGCAAATGAACTAAATCTATCTGGCCAGTATGATTTAATTAATTATTTATTTTTTTAATTATTTTGTTCCTGTATTATTATATTCCACTTTTAAGGCCCCAGCGCCAAACAGCTTTTTTGGGGCAAAATTGACAAAGTAAATATAACTTTAAGTGGATATAAATCTTTGAACTCCATAATTTATTATTTTGAGGATCCTAGTACTTGAGTAGCTGTTTGCAGGAATTTTCTCTATTTGTTATTTCCTACACCCCATGGTTGTCAGGGTATTATGTCTTTGTGCATTTGTTTGTAACAGACAAAAGGGAAAGAGATAGACCCATACTTCTTTTTGATGATTTGCAGAGAATCACATTCTGCATGTCAGTCCGTCGGTCTGTTCCTTTGTCCATGTATTTTTGTAAACAAAGTACAGGTCTCATTTACTGCCCGATCCAGATGAAATTTTGCACAAATCATTTGTTTGACCCAAGGAAGAATCCTACTGGAGAATATCGGTCAAAATTTAGATATAGCTCCCACATATATCTTCGTCCCAAATAGTATGGAATTTTTCACCTATAACCAAATTACGCCTGAAAATAAGTATGCCAAATTTAATCGAAATCAGTTAAGATATAGCTATGGCTTTCATGTAATTGTTCATCCGATTTTTTATATTTGTTCACCACAGCAGTAGTATGCCCTCTGTAACAATGATGTTTGGAGAAATATTCAATTTTATAGAGATCGGTTTAGATGTGGATATAGCTAACGATTTGTCCGATTTGCTTTTTATTGTGCACCAAACGTATAATATTAGACAAAATGGGATGGAATTGGACACTTACGCCTAAATTGAGCCTAGAAACAAGAATGTCAAATTTGGTGAAAATCGGTTCAGATATAGCTATAGCTCCAATAAATATTGTTCGTCCGGTTTTTTATATTTGTGTGTGGGTACTGGTACTAGGTACTACATCAAATTTGAACCTTGAGTCCCATTTGAATTTAGTCCAATTACTCTGCGGTCGGAATATACTGGTTTATATATTGTGCTATATTTTGAACCAAATTGTGGGACTCGTTTCACATGCAATATCTTCCTGCGCTACAGTAGCTTTCTGCGTTATATATCTTCTTGCGTTAAAAAGGATGACATGAAAAAACTGCAACCAATTTCAGACTGCTGTCATTTCTATGCTACTCGTCTGACAGCTTTTAAAATTATTCCAGTGACAGCTCATTATATTGTTTACAAGCCTACAAAAGCATTTTGGTGAAAATTTTTCCAGAACAAAAAGTTATTCGTGATGGAATTCAAGCGTGATAGTGTGATTTCTTCATATTTGACTAGAAAACCACAAGTGGCTATCGTTAGAGCACTCCAGCATTAAAATGCGAATAAAACTTTTGTGTCTCGTACAATTGCTTGTTACCGTGATGCTGGTAGCGTAGTCCGATGTCAAGAAAGTGGACGGAAGAAAAAAGAAAAAAATTAAAGAGCGACTTGATTGAAACTCGCGTCGCAGTGGCCGAAAAATGGCTCGTGAGCTGAACGTATCGGAACGTTCCATTCGGCAAATATTGCAAAATGAGCCTGGGAAAAAGCCATTGAAATTACAAAAAGTGCAAGAACTTACACCGCAACAGAAGGAAAATAGACTCAAAAGAGCTAAAGAGTTGCCTCGCTTGGCCGTAAGTGGTGAACTGCCGAATTTAGTTTTCCCCGTCTCCGATGAGAAAACATTCGTCGTCCAACAGTTTGTGAACAAACAAAATGATCGTTTTCACTTGCCAAAGATTTCAACCGAAAAATGTGCACCTTTGGTTGGCCACCGGAACTCATGGTGATGGAGTGGGCCGGTCGTTCGTATTAAATCAGAATAAATGCCGAATATTATCGCAAAAATATTCTGGAGGGTGTATTAACGCCTTGGACATGCAAACATTTTGGCCGCAGACCTTGGGCATTCCAACAGGACTCAATACCATTGACCTTAGCACGCGCCATCCAAGAATGGTTACAAAATGAGGTTCCTCATTTCATTGGAAATATTTGTTGTCGCTTGATTTAATCAATTTGGGTAATTATGATTGACATTCTTGACAATTTTAGGGCCGTATAATTCTTGAGTCATATCGTTTCATATTTCGGGTGATGTGTGTAAATCCAAATTCAGGACTATATTATATTTTGGGTCCTATATATAGATCATAATTGGATGCCATTTCTAGCAACAATTTTTGACATTCTTGGTATGGACCATTTTGAGCCATAATTGGGGGCAAGTAAGAAATATTGGCCCATATGTGTACCACTTATTTAATATTTGTTTGCAAATTATGGACAACATAGGTGGCCATTTGGACAGTATTAATGCAATCAGTCAAGGCCATATTTTTTGGTTATATGTTAGAATATAGGTATACGGTTTGAACTGTCTATATATAAGAACAATTTTAAATTTTGGTTCAAATTGGACCCCGTTGAAATTTATTGGCATTGTTGGTTTACCATTTAAGATTCATTTTATTGCATATAAGCCATATAGGTCTATGGGCCATATAATTCCACATATTAGGTAATATTCTGCTATATGGGACCAAGAGGCCCTCATTAGCCCTACATTTTGTCAACGTTCGATATACGATGTAAATGTACCGATCTAAGTGATTTTCGGGATTGACATCGTGGGATATGATTTTTGTCTTGTTGTATTCCAAAGGCATAAAATTCTATGTCGATACAGTCATGTCTATCTGTTGGAAAGGTATATTATATATCGTTCCATTTTAAGTCATCATATAAGGATATCTCTTGATATTAAGCATTTTTAAGGTTTCGGCCAAAATTTCTGAAATAGGTGGTTCAAATTTCATATGTTTGATTCAGCGAAAGTAAAACATTTCCTTGTTAAAAATTGCAAGATGGTTTCCCTTTTTGGTTTAGCCTTCACATTGTAAATTCTTCCCATTTTCACGTATTCCAACGCATTTTATAATTAGCTGCAATGGAGAGAGCATAGATTCTCCATGCAAAAAAAAGAGAAGAAAATATTGGACTCCCGTAAAGATGTTCCTCCTGATGTCCAATGTGGGTTAATTCTGAACATAGAATCTTTATGGTGGTATCAGTCTATTTAAGTATAGCCATGAATAGATATTCAGGATTTAAGTATTCTATTAAAACTTTGAATTTTGAAACTAATTATTAAAAATCCGAATTCCGATCTTAAACTCTGAGGGTAAGTAAACCCCTATTCTACTATTAGTTTCATTATTTTCTATAATATTCGATTTTT